TGCTGGAGGACTCTAAACTTTCGCAGTACTAAAGTCCTTTATGCTTGAGGACTCTAAACGTTCACAGTACTATGTATGAGAGATCTCTGCCATCGACACTCTGGGATACGGATGACCCCACCGACGGTCTAGGATACGGGTGGATTTGTCTAATCGATTCCAGGTCGATTATTCCCTTGTTTTGTCTTGTTTTGCCACCGACGGTCTATGAACGGGTGGGTTTATTTTGTCAGGAATGTCATCACCCCATGTATTATGTAGATGTTATTAAACATCCCAAGAAGATTTGAAAGGCCAAGATTTGATTGATGAACTTGATTCATCCCATGTTTTGAACAAGCTATGATATATGTATTGTTTTGACAAGGACCTCGGGAATCATTCATTTAACCCCTTTATTACTTGTACCATTCACTGAGTATCCAAGCTCACCCTCCCTATGTATATCTGTAGGTAACAAGCAAGAAGTCGGCTACGCCGAGATGTGTGTTTTGCATGAATGTTATGTCGGCAGTGAGAATGTCGACAATCTTGAAGGTTATGCTTCTTAGTTGTATTTCATGTATTTTGTATATGTCAGCTTGAGAAGCCTTTTAGTCAAGATGTAATATGTATTTTATTTTGCTTATATTCAAGTTGTAAAGCTATGCAAAGATGTATGCCATTTCATTTGACTTATGCACTGCTCTTATGGACCACTTGTATTGTAAATTATTGCTTCCGCACTTATTAGCCCCATATGTAATACTCTGATTGTGTGTGAATTTTTGAAAGTTGGCCTTCGATAATCTCGAATTACTGGCCATCACGGCACCATTCTACTAGGGGCGGAATGGGGTTGTGACAGTTTGTGTGCAAAAATGTGAAGAAACAACACTTTAAGGCTCAATAGAGAGAGAGAGAGAGAGAGAGATATATAGAGAGAGTAAATTTTTTGTTCTCCAAAAATTCTGAACCCTCTCTAAGGGGGAAGCACCTCCCCTTATATAGAGCAATGCAAGCACAAGCTTGCTTGACAAGCTTAAACTTGCCTCCATCCCTCCATATACGTGTATGGAGGATGCATTCTATGCCTAACAGCTGGCACAGCTGGCACCAAAAATATCTGCAAAAATAGAAAAATGTCCGTAGGCCACTTCAAGTGGCCTACAGGAGGAAAAAGTGGCCTACAACCACCAAAAGTAGCCAACAGGCCCTCCCCTCCCTCTAGGCAAGGATTAACAAGGTACGGTCCAAAAACAAACCAAAATGAAGGGATCTAAGAGACCCCAAGACAAGGCACTCAGCCGAAAGCTCCCGAAACTAGCCTACCAACCACCGCAAGTGGCCTACAAGAGGGAAAAGTAGCCTACAGCTACAAAAAGTGGCTTGTAGGCCTCTCTCTCCCTCCAAGCAAAGGCACCAAGGTCCGACACAAAACCAAGGCCAAAACACAAAGGGTTAAGAGGCTCAAAGACAAGGCACCCAGCCGAGACCTTCAGGTGCTCAAAACAAGCACAAACATGCGCAATCAACGCGTGCACAAACGATGACATCTGAGTCTTAAAGTCGGTCAAAAATGGGGTGTCTACACTCAGAAGGGTGTTTTTTTTCCTTTGTTGATCTTTCTTTTCCGCTCGAGCGGACATTGTAGTGCTCCAGCACGTGTTTACTTCATCTAGTTCTTTTGCAGCGTGCGCGAGATTTTGAGAGCAAGTTTTCTATGCCCGAGCATCCTTTTCTTCGCTCGAGCAGAGAGACACGCATAAGTGAGTCCACTCGAGCGTTGAGTCTCACACTCAAGCGGTAAGCCATAGTATAAATTATTTCACCCATCTTTTTAGACTCAGTTTTTCCTCTCTTTTTTATTATTGTCTCTCTCTCTCTCTCTCCCCTAGGTCTTCGATTGCGACTCCTTGGGCTGAGTTTTTAGTCATTCTTCTTCTTTTTCCTTCTCTGATTCATCTTTGGTAAGTTTCTCTCCCCAAATTTCTTAGTTATTTCCTTTGCTCTCTCTCTCTTTCGGTCTGATTTGAGATTTGTTTGGTTTTTGCGTCTTGGTTTGTTTATATGCTCAGTCTATGGTTTGTTCACTCGTTCACACTTTCACACAGTAGGTTTTTGGGCTTGTGGATGTCATTCTATGCTATATTTGTAGATTGGGCATGTTTTTTTTATCCATGTTAAACTGTTCACATACTTGTCTATCTGTCCAGTTTGTTTATCTGTATGCTCCATTATGGCTACTGTGTAATTTTGTTTTGGCACTTGTCTTATGACTGGTTTACTAATGGATTATGGCTATTGGTTTTGTTCCCTCTCCTTTGTGCTACTAATGTTTTTTGTTTTGCTCTTACTGTTTTTTTAAAATATGGTTTTGGGGGTTTTTCTAACTTGGCTTGGGTGTCCTTGGGTTAGCTATGTCTACTGCCAAACGTAAGAAGCCCACTGCCTGTCGCCCATCTTATAACCCTGATCGGTTTCCATCCGCCGAAAAGGCCAAGTCCTTTAGAGAGGCTTACGCTTCTAGAACTGTCCATCTTGAGCATCATGTCCAACCCAACACTTTTGAGTCTTTACCTATACGTTCCTTGTTCGATCCGTTGGGGGGTGATTTTGTGCTCTCTTTCATCAGCCGCCAAAACCTTGATTGAGTCCCAGATTTTATTGTAATATTGAGGGCATTGATGATGTTGGTCCTTCGTTTCAGACTTGGGTTAGGTCTAAGTCCATTTCTATTACCCCAAATCTTATTCGAGAGTTGTTAGGCATAGACCGTGTCTTTCCCATCCACTATCTCTTCCCAGTCCGCCCAACTTGTGATTTCAACGAGATGGCCACTACTTTGTGCGATACACCTCGTACTTGGGTTAAGGGAGCTTTGATCAAACAACATGAGCTCCTTCCTCGGTTCCGTTTGCTCAACCTCATCATCTATGCCAATGTCATCGTCACAACCCATAGTTCTTATATTAATCAAGACCAAGGCTTTGTTCTCTTTTGTATTGATCATCATCATTCCATCAACCTTGCCACTCTCATTCTTCAAAAAATGATCGCCGCATTTGAGAGAAAGTCTTTAGGGCTACCTTATGGTTGTCTTCTTAATCGTCTCTTGTCCAAATTAGAAGTCCCAGTTCTTGAGGATGATGAGTTTGCCTTCCCTATTAAACCTTTCACTAAAAAGACCGCCTTTCAAAGTCGGTCACATGTTAAGGGGGAGTCTTCTAGTGCAGGTCCATCTTCTATAGGTGATGATGATCTTATGGCTAAAGAGGCTGAGTTTGATGCCACCGCAGTAGGAGCAGAGGAGCCGATATACCTCCCCGGACTATGCGTGACCAGCTTCGCCGCTTTGAGCAGTCCATGACTCAATGGTTGGTTCACCCGGATGCTCGTCAGGATGCTTTCAATGGTCAACTTGGCCATCTTGAGCAGTCAACTGCCCAAACCACTCTACAACTGGATCAGATTCTTTCATTGCTTCAGTTGCAGCCGCCACACCCATTGCCGCCAGATCATTGAGTTTGTTCTTTCTTTGGCCAGTTTTTAGACAGTTTCTCCTGTTTTGGTTGGTTTCTCTTGTTTTGTCTTATTGTCTCCCAGACAAAATGATAGTTTTTGGTGGTTGTTGCTTTTGGATATTTTTGCCTATTATTTTGGATATCTTTTTCTATTGATTTGTACATGCTGGACACAGAACATAGACATTTCAAAAACTATTGGTTTATGTGCTATATTGGAAATGCGATGGTTGTGGGTTGTTTTTTTGTTTATGACTTTCATGCATTATTTCTATTTGGATCTTATTTCATTCCACAGTTTTGATTTTTGGTCTTTGGTCGTTTTCATAGATGGATTGTTCAACATGTTTCTCAGTGTTTCTCTATCAAATTAGCATTAGTGTTTTTTTAGTTTTTTTTGTGTCTGTTAGGCCTTATCTTTTGGTGTCGTTAGTGCGTGTTGTTAGGAAAAATTGTTAGAAAAATTTTGTCCGGGAATTGACAAAGGGGGAGATTGTTAGGTCCCTACTTGTTGCCAATTTTGCGAACAAGCTTAGTTTAATTAAGTTATAATTTTTTCTTGGTTTTTGGTCTTTTCGCTCGATCAGCCAAAGTTGCACTCGAGCGGCGTTTGCATCTTCTTAGTTGTTTGGCTTGTCTGCAAACATACTGGGAGACTTGTTGTTGCACTCGAGCGTGAGTTCCAACACTCGAGCGTAGACCTGTTTAATCGCACGCGTTTTAGTGACTCCATTCGAGCGGCAAGTCCTACGCTCGAGCGGGGTACGCGGCCCCTGTTTTTTATATATATGTGTTTTAGTCCGTTTTTAGGTTTAAGGCTTTCAGATCTGTTTTGGGGGCTCTAGGGTTTTCTTTTGGAGTTATTTTGCTAGTTTTCCTTTGATGTTTGCTTGAGTATTAAACTCACATGGTTGGATAATATACATGAAAGGGTTGTTTGAGTGATCATCTTCAAGAGTGTTCTTCTTCGGTGGAATCCGGAAATTCAAGCGTGGAGTGTTCGAAGGTGATCGAAGTTGTGCGCGGTCGTTGAGTCGACGTGGATGTTGTGGAATCAACATCAATCTAATCAATTCTGAGACAAAGGTTGAGGTAGAAGATATACAAAGCGTTGAAGACAAATAAACAGAGTTTGGGTAATTTGTTTGGGTTTTTTTGTATTATTTCCTACCTTCATAGTGGATTGATTTGTGGCGTTTCACCCGTGATTTTTTAATCACAATTGGAGGTGCTCCAATAATGATTTTTTCCACGTAAAAATCGTTTGTGTCTATTTATTATTTCTAAAGCAACAATTTAAATCACTTTTGTACATGCTTAATAATTCAGATTGTTAGTTTTAATTGTTTGGGAATTGGGACAATTAAATCTTGATCTAATCACGAATCATTTAGGTTTTTCAATCTTTATCCTCCTCTTCAGTTTGTGGTAGCACTTATTGGTATATCTTTTTTATCATTGTTTATTCTTCCTTTTTAGATATTTCAGTCTGCTCTTGTTCCTCAAAGTTAGGTTCTTCACCTTCGTCCTCATCTTCTGTTTGTGGTAGCAATTGTTTATATATTTGTTGTTCTTCATTTGTGTGCTTCAAATTGCTCTCCTACATGAATGAAAATTATTTAAAGAATGATATGACACAAATTTCAGTAATAAATTTATAATTCAGTGATTCAAATTCATAATAAGACTAGAGGTTTGGTCCATGATAACAAGATTTTATCACTGAATCAACGAAATTAAGCAAAATTTATCACTCAATGAAGCAAACTAAGCAAATTTATAACTGTGAGCAAAAATTTATCGCTCCATATCAAAATTTATCGCTGCATAGCAAAATTCATCACTTAATTAAGGAAATAAAGGTTATATACTGATAAAACTAGTTTCTTAAATAATTTCCTAGCACAGATGAAATGCCTAAATAATTTTCTACCATAAATGTGACACTATGAACATTAAAAAAATTTATCACTTAAATAGGTGAACTAAGGGAAATTTATCACTGAATTAGGCAAATTGACTAAATTTATCAGTGTGAGCAAATATTTATCACTACATAACAAAATCTATCATTCATTTAAACAAACAAAGGTTATCAATGCATACCACAATATTTTTCAGATCATCCAAGGATGAATTTGCCAATTATTGTCCCAGATGTGTGATGTTCCATTTTGCAAATCTTGAGATTGCGTTCTTGTCATTTGGTTTGATGATGCTTGTATGCTCGCATATCCAATATTGTTAAGGACAAAAAAATTGTTATAAATAAGTATTTAGTAAATGTAAATATTATATCTTATAACTTGTAAGTGAGGTATTTACTTACCAATAAGATTATTACACATCCAGAGACTTTATCGATTTGGTTCATGTTGCTTGCTATTGATCTTGTGAGCTGTTGTTTCGTTGCGCCACACTAATCATAAAACTTCATTCTATCAATATCCTCAGTATATTTCATTAACCAATTGTAGTCCCAGTACCCTGATATAACAAAAGCAAACAGATCAAGAGGCATACAAGCCTGACAACATCTTCTATATCCTCATTGTTGTTGCTTTCCAAAAGTTGAGTGATCAATTTTGTGATTGATATTCTTGTCATTCTACTCTCTGTTATGTTCCTTCTTTTAACCATATCTATCTCATTTTTTCTTCTATATGAGAGATTAATTTTCTTTTGTCCACGTGCAATCCCAAAAATCAACTTAAAGTCATCACTTTTCAACTTCAACTTCTTAGCACCTATTTTGAAAATTTCTTCATCCATTTGGTAAGTTTGTAAGATTTTTACAACCACATCATCATATTTCATAGAATCTCTTATTTTCACCTTGTTTTTACTCAATCTATCAACTAGAAGTGGAAAAGAAGTCTTTCTCAATAATGCCAAATACTCCTCTCTAAGTTTTGTTGTCTTAAAAAACTTGATAAGAGATTGAATGTTAGAATGGTAGACATACTTTGCTTCATGATTATGTATCTGTTCCGTCCTAATTTTTCTTCCATCAACTTTTTTCTTTCCTCTTGCTTTGTGGAGCTCTGTAGCTTGTTTCAGTTGCTGCTGTTTGGGCTTCCCATTGTCAATGTTAGATTCACGTTCAACTTCTAGTTGATTTTCACTTTCTTCTGTTGTTGGCTCTATAACACACTCAACTTTGTCAATCTTTTTCTTCTTTGAGAAACTACTTATTTCTCGACGATGTAATCTTTTACGATGACTGGGAACATCTGTACAAAAACATCGAACATAAACATTGAAGATTAAGAAGAATTTATCATTGAACTAGGCAAGCTAAGAAGAATTTTATCACTGAATTAGGCAAAGTAAAGAAATTCGTCATTGTATAGCAAATGTTATCACTCAATTAGGAAAAGTAAGCAAATCTATCATTCTTATTGCAAATGAACATGAAGATATGATTATTATGAAGTTGAATATCACTGATAAATTAATACTGTATGGTACACATTAAAAATAGCTTCAAGTCAAAATTTATCAGTTAATTATAGTTATGAAAGAATAAGGGAATCAAATCTATCATTATAACAAATTTTATTACTCAATTAGGCAAATTAAGTAATTTTACCATTATTATAACAAATTTTATCACTGAATTAGACAAAGTAAAGAAATTCGTCATTGTATAGCAAATGTTATCACTCAATTAGAAAAATTAAGCAAATCTATCATTCGTATAGCAAATTTTATCACTGAATTAAGCAAAGTAATCAAATCTGTCATTGTATATCAAATTTTATCATTTTTTTTTTTTGGTACATCGGAAAATAAAAACAAACAGGAAACAAAAGAAGAGGAAAAGAAGACAAAGAAATCCAAACAGGTTGCCAAAACTCAGGGCCTAAGGTAGCCCTACCCAACCACGTCAGCAATCACTAGCCCTCGAATATCTTCAAGAGCCTCGTCCATGACAACAAGAGGCTCAACTTGATTAGCTCCCAATTTAGCAAGACCATCCGCACTGCTATTGCTTTCGCGCAAAACATGATGGATACCATAGCCACACCTTTGCATGAGGAATTTGAAATCCTTCACCAAGCTTCTAATCGAAGGAGACACCACACAACCTTCTTTCAAAAGTAAATGAACATGAAGATGAAGATATGATTATTATGAAAATATAATTATTATCACTGAATTAGCAAAAGTAAGCAAATCCATAATTGTATAACAAATGAACATGAAGATATGATTATTATGAAGTTGAATATCACTGATAAATTAATACTATATGATACACATTGAAAATAGTTTCAAGTCAAATTTTATCACTTCATTATAGTTATGAAATAAGAAGAGAAGATGAGTACGACTCACGTTTGATTGGCATGTTTGTTGAAGATGAACTAGATATGGAGAGTAGATGTCCGAATCGAAATATAGATCGAAACAGTGGAAGATTTGTTGGGGATCTGTTCGGAATTGGTATGAAAACAATTGGTGATTTCTTTGGAAATGATAGGAGATTCGCCGAAAATCTCTTCGTTTGTTCTGATCTCCAAATCGGAAATCTCCTCAGAATGGTTTCCAAATCTTCATACGTTTGTCTGCAATAGAACCCTTGAAAAAGGCGCGTGTGTGTCAAACGCATAGGGGAGAGTTCGTGACGGCTTCTTTGCTTCACGCGTATAGTGTGATATTGAGGGGTAAAATTGAAAACGAAAATAGGCCAAGACTTGACCTGTATTAAGCTATTTCCATGGGACTGGCTGGTAAGTCCTCCATAGAATAGCCCCTATTAGTTGGTTCAAATTATCATGGACGTCTAATGAGTTTTTAAGACAATAAAAAAACAAATTGCCCAATTTGCAAAACAAAAGGGCCCAATTACCAAAAAAAAAATGACCTGTTAGAGACAATCAAAGGGTGATTTTATTTGCATCCAAATAATAATTCAATACGTCTAATTAAAATTTTGAAATTTTATTTTTATCGTATTTTAATGTAAATTTACTAATAAGGGCTGTTTTGGGTGAGGCCCTAAATATATTTGTGATGTGTAAATGGCTTCACTAGTCTCCAATTTTGAGGTCCTTAGCATGCTATATTTGTGATGTATACAGGATATGGCATCATTTAGTATGTAATTTCAGAGCTTATATCTTTGCCATACTTCCACTTAAACCACTCTTTAATTGTTTTTGAGAGTTGAGCTTTGTGCCTTGTTTGTGAGCCATCATGCTTCTCTTGCTTTTTGTGCCTGAGTTTCAACATGATTAGGCTACTGTTTTGGCATGTTTAACCTCTGTCCGGGGTTGGTTTGGTCATTTAGGCTTAGTATTGTATGCCTATAGTGTTATGCTCTTTGCTAGCGTCAATGCTTTCGACTCTGAGCATGTCTTGCATGCGTCATTTTCATGCTTTGATGTCATTTAGCATCCTATTTCAATACTGGAATATGTGTCATTGCATTCCATCTTTCATTTGTTCTATCACTTTCGAAAGTGGTCTTAAGTCCTTTGTTGGTTTGAGCACGAAATTGAGGCGTTCATGCCTAATGGTTTTAGCCTTCTCTTGAGGGTTTCTACTAACCAACGGCATGATGCTTCTTTCATGCTCAAGAAACTTGTGGCTTGGTCCGTCTTTTCAATTAGCGGACTTCTCACTTTTGGACTTGACCGGTTAAAGGACTTATCGGTAATCTAAAATGAGTAAACAAAATGAATCAAAGTAAAACATGTCAAAATAACATGTTTGTGTTGCATTGCATGTGTTTGGATTGGGCATTAATCCAAACACAAGAAATAAGGGGCGTTTCATACTCAGAGTGATGAAACGTGCCTCACTTCTTAATCACCGACACCCTTGATCGTGTATGATAGGGTGGAGGCTCATGGAGTCTATTTGTGCATTCATTGACTTCTACAAACTTGGCTTCTCGGCCATCGTGCATTGCGATGCTTGGTTGGTGGCCCGAGAGTCGAGTACCACACTCTTTTGAGCATGAGAAATGATAAAGAGGGTGGTTGTACACACATATCCTGCAAAGACCTTACTTTGCCTCTGTTGTTCCCTATTTACAGCAAAATTGGAGCATGCAGAAGCAAGTGGCCAACGGGCCAGAGCAAGTAGCCTACCGGCCACTTTAAGTGGCCTACAGCCTCCTTAAGTGGCCAACAGTTCTCAGGCTCAGAGGTGGTCAAAAGTTGTTCTGGTTCTGAAGCAGAAATAGCCTGGAGATTGGTTTGGTGTTCAGGGATCAAGGCGAATGCAAATAGAGGCAACCGGTGGCAAAGTGACGGACTTCGGAAGGAAGCGGAGCAACCGAGCATGCATGCATCCCTCGTCCCTCGAGGCTGTTTAATTGCTTTATTAGTTAGTTAATGTGTTTAGCTAATTAATCCAATTTGTAATATTTAGCTAACTTAGAATAGTTAGTTAATTTCAAGTCATGTGTAATAATTAATTAGCTAGAGTAGTTAATTAGTTATTTTGTAATAAGTAGCTTAGCGTAGCTTAGCTTATTATTCGAACCCTCCGTCGAGAGGGCAAATGTTGTCATAAGTGTGCGTGCGTGTGTAAATGTCTTCCAACCCCACGTCTTTTTCCCTTTTATTTTCCCGCTTTCAGTGGATAGATTAGGGCATATTTCGATTAGCATACCTTATGCTTGCATGCGTGCATCATTCATTCGTCTTGCATGCACCGTGCTCGACGCATCATTCAAACTGCATTGTATTTCAATACACTTTCTTGAATACGTGTTCCAAAGCATGTTATCAAGTGTTGCATTCATATGCCATCTTAGATAGTCGAGCCTATTAGTTGCATTATTGCATGCGTTGCATTAGGCATCTTTGACATAGCTAGGATCATGCATGATTTCTAACTAGTTTTCTGTTTTGGCTCGGAGTACACTATAAGTGTTTACGCTTTAGCATACTTGCATGAGTGTGAGTGTTGCCATGTTTAGCATGCTTGCCACGAGGCTATTTGCTTAAATGTTTAACTGCATGAATGCTTGTGGGTGAAGGCTTTATTGCTTGAATTGGAACAATTAATCAAATGTAAGTTTTAAGCCCACTTTACGGAGTGGCAGATCATGTTGTTTTAAGCCCACTTGAGGGTGGCAAATCCGCGTTTTAGCCTACTTTCGAGTAGCACTTCCAAACTATTTTCGAAAAACGAACGTGAGATGTTTTGTTCCAAATCGAGTGATTTAGTCTATACTTGTATGCTGTGCACATCACATAGTAAGGTTAGCTAATAAATCAGAATAAGAACAAATGTGTTTTCAAAATAACATATCATGTTTAGTAGAGGCCGATCCTTTGATCGGGCAAGCAGGGGTGCTCATTTTAGGACCTTTCCCTCTCGTACCCAAGTTTCCGAGCCGAGACAACTTTGGTGATGACGGACACGTGGCCTTTGACACGAGTCAGGGTTTCCTAAATTTTTCAAAAATAAAATATTTAGGTGGCGATTTTATAATCTGACAGAACAGTCCATGTTTGGCGTTTTTTGATTAAAATCGATTTTCCAAAACGATTTGCCGGATTTGGACTCTATGGTGATTTATCAGTCTTACATTACACTTTGTGAGATTAGATTCAGAACCGTGACAAGAGTCCGAACTGTAGTAGCTAGAACCCAATTCACGCCCTCTCCGAAAGGGGGGCTGCGCGGAGAGAGTTCGGATGGTCTACAGTTTCTGGACCATTCAATATTTGAAAATGATAACCAAAGATTGGAATGGGACTATTTTGCAACATGAGTTTATTCATATGCGTTGTTGTGCACATATTCTTAATCTCGTTGTGAATGATGGGTTAAAGAAATGGACGATTCTATTGTCAATATTAGACTTGCGGTAAGATATGTGAGGTTTTCTCCTCATAGGCATGATGTTTTTAAGAAATATGCGGCCACACTCAAACTTGATTGAAAAGTTCTTGTATGCCTAGATGTACCAACTAGGTGAAACTCTACCTATTTGATGTTAGAGGCTGCCGAAAAGTATGAGAAGACTTTTAACCGATTGAAGTTTGTGGATTCTAACTTCGAACCTTATTTCAAAGATGTTGATGGTAGCATAAGTAGATGTCTGAAAGAGTTGGATTGGAAAAAATATAGAATTTTTTTGAGATTTCTAAAATTATTTTATCTTGCAACTAAGAAATTTTCAGGGCCTCTCTTTGTTACTTCCAATGGTTTTTACAAGGAAATGTTTGTTATTGAAAGCAAAATTAACCAATTAATTTTGAAGGAGAATGATACTTTGAGTACAATGGTAAAGACTGTGAAACAAAAGTTTAGCAAATATTAAGAGGATGGAAGTAAGATCAATTTGTTTTTATGTTGCAGTTGTTCTTGATCCTACCAAAAAAATGACATACTTGGAGTTTTGCTTTTCAAATTTATTTCTTGGATATAATTAGGTGGAAGATATGGTAGACAAAGTTAAGAGTTGTTTAAGTCGTTTGTATAGTCATTCTGTCACACTTTATCCTTCAAATGAGAAACTTCCAAGTGTGAATGAAGTTGTGAATATGGTATAAGATGATGATGATGATGATCCCTATTCTTTAGTTGACTTCCAATTTAATTCCTATTTGGAGGGGCGATGCACTAGTGGATCTAAGTCGGAATTAGAACAATATTTATCCGAGGTTAAACATTTTGCAAAGAATCAAACATTTGAGATTTTGGATTATTAGAAGGTAAATGCAACCAAATATAAAGTGTTATCACAACTTGCAAGGGATGTGTTTGCCATGCATGTTTCTACCATTGCGTCGGAGTCGGTTTTTAATGCAAGGAGCATATTCTTAACCCATTTCGTAGTTCACTCTCGCCTTCTATAATTGAAGCTCTTGTATATACTCAAAATTGACTTCGAAACAACCTTCTAATTTCTCTTCGAAAGGCGATGGATAATGTGGAGGAATTTCAGCAATATGACTCAAGTAATATGAGAATTTATTTATCTTCATTTTGTTTGCATTGTTCATTTTTTAATGTAAATTTTATTAATCTTCTATTGTTGACTCCTAATTAGGTACTTTGGAATCAAGCTCATTTTCAAGTTCAACCTATAATGTTGATGCTATAATTGAACTCTAATATCCAT